CCAACTTTAATTGAAGCCATGGTAACCTTAGATAACTGCTGGGACGAACCGATGATTAGAAATTCTGTCTTTGAATCATTAAACATCAACCTTTGTGAGACTAACCAAGCCTTAACATCAGCTATGCAGTTCTCAATAGCCTTAATCGCTAGATCTTGAGCAGCAAACGAATATGGACGAAACGACACGTACAACTGAGTATCATCAGCGTACCCATGAACTGATGGAAGGTGCTTATTAGGGACCACTCATAATTTTAATCGGGTGGGGAGGGGTGGGGGGCGGAGGAGAAATTGTTTTTTATCCTAAATTATTAGACCCCTACTCAATAGCACCCATGTATCTTAAGGGACCCCCCTTCAATCATGTTAAAAGATTTAAGGCCCACCCTTTCTTAAATAATACCCAAAAGGCTAACTCAGGCCGCGGGATGTTGGTTGTAGACAAAACGAATCAAATTAAAGAAGTTCAGCCATTTGAAAGTTATCTGATTCCAAACCCTCACAGTGCATGACTCCAATACTATAATGATGTTGTATCTGTTTTATACACTGAGTGTTTTACAGATTTTTCTTCAAAGGAACGATTCCAACATTACTTCATTGCTGAAAGAAGGTGGAGATTTGAAATAGAAAGTGATATAAACTCTTTGGCTTCAAAAGTGGATGAAATCAAGAGCAATTCAGAAAACTCAGATAGTGGTCATTCGTACAACATTTAAAGGTTGCAACCTATTCCACATGATGCCAATTCTGAAGATGTTTTTCGGTGTGAAAGAACTATAGGTGCCTTGGAAAAAATGATGAATTCCCCTCAAGATATTACAAACAGACTGTCAGAGAAAAGGAAAAATTGTTATCTTCTCTCCCTTGATTTAGTTCCAGGAGGAAAGAGCACAGTAACACCGGACGCCTTGAATCGGACCGGACGCTTCAGCTAGCGCTCCGCGTTCATTTGTTGCTAGGCTAGTTAAGATCGTTTCTTTTTTTCTTCGTTGACTAATGGATGACAGAGTGAAAGCGTTAAAAAGAGAAAACGATGATTTAAAGAGACAACTGAATGAGCTGAAGAAGGAATTTCAGTCTATCAAGTCCAAGATGGCGGAACAGAAGGATCGCCACGAAGCGGCAGCTACCGCTTTACCGAACACACAGGATCTCCAATTCCTCAGCGACAGCTACGATGCCCTTGTTAAGTCAGAATCGAGCTTGTTAAAAGCACTGCAAAATTATTCTCGTAGGTTGGATTTATTGACAGTTAACGTTGACAGAATTGACAAAGCTATCGACGAGATGCTCTACTACAGTTACCAATATAACTTGAAGATCGTGGGCGTTCCACTTATCTCAGAAAGTGAATCTGCACAAGACACCGCGGAGTTGTGTGTAAAGCTATTTTCTGGCCTTGGAGTCGATGTCTCCATATCAGAGATCGACATTGCCTACAGGGTTCCACAGCGAGATACTTCAACCGGTAATGGCAACCGAAGACAACCGAACCCGATAATTTCCAAATTCACTAGAAGGATGACACGAGACACAGTGCTGGCGTCAAGAGGTAACACCAGTCGACTAACTACCGAGGACCTGGATCTCCCGTCCACTGCTGAGATTAATCGGATTGCAATTTACAGCCACCTCACGCCGAGACTACAAGAGCTGTTACATTCAGCGAAGGCGCACCAAAACACATACAACTACAAATGGTGCTGGGCAAAAGGCGCAGCAATCTTCCTACACAAAACGGATTCTTCTATGACGATTCGTCTGAGGTCGATTGACGACTTAACTAAGTTAAGACTGCGTGAACGCCCTCAAGCTCGATCGGAGGATCCTTGCAGCTAAGATAAAACTACTATTATGTTTTATCACTGATATTACTATGAAGGGCAGGAACAAAACTACAATGAAATCTATTAGATCTACATTGAAGGTTTTACCGTATTATAGTTGTTCTGGAAATTTGGCAGAAATTCATGGCCAGTTTAATAATTCAGTGTCGACCACATGTAAAACTAAAAAGGAATTAGACAAGCTTACTAGCCTATAGATTTGTTTTCCTTAAATACAACCTTAGATCATAATTTGAACCCCGCTAAAATTACTCCTCTAACAGATTAACTAGTCGATATTTCTCCCCCCATAGTTTTAAGGAAATGAAAACGAAGTTGTCAAAAGATGAGACTATCTCTAGCTTTTCTGTTTTTCATAACAACGTAGTCAGCCTTAATCGGAACCTGGAGAATCTTCAAACGCAACTTTTGCATGAAGTAGATTTTCATTTTAATGTCATCGGAGTTACTGAAACAAAAATCACCAATGCTAATTTACAAATGTGCACAGCACATATACCTGGCTACGTATTTGAATATGTTCCAACACCTCTGGCGTCAGGGGGAGTAGGAATGTTTATTGATGAATCGCTTGATTATCGTATTTTAGAAAAGACCTCTAATGAAGCTTTTCAGGTATTGTGGACTGAGTTCTCCTTTGTGAATAACAAAAATGTTATTTGTGGAATCTTTTATAGACAGCATAACTCACCTGAAATCTTTCAATCATATTTTGATGAGACTATTGAAAAACTTGCGTCCTCTGGTTATCAGCAGTACACTCGCGGAAATAATAAATCTTTTCAATTCGACTGGGATGTATCCCACTAAACTAAAAATGGCAAAAATTATTCCTATCTTTAAAGCTGAAGATAACACTCACGCAAACAACTATAGGCCTATTTCTTTGCTGTCTAACTTTAATAGGATCTTCGAAATATTGGTCTTCTCTAGAATGGGATCTTTCATTGAGCAAAATGACATACTTTCTCCATCTCAATATGGCTTCCGCAAAGCGCACTCAACTCACCATGCAATTTTTGACATTGTAATTACCATTCAGGAAAACATGGGCAAGCGCTTGTTCTCATGTGGTGTATTTATTGACCTGAAAAAGGCTTTTGATACAGTCGATCATAAAATTCTTTTGCACAAGTTAGATCACTATGGTCTTCGTGGTGTTATAAATAAGTGGTTCTCGTCTTACTTAGAAGGTCGAACTCAAACGACGCAAATTGGTTCCTTTATATCTAAAAGAAAAAATACCACTTGCGGTGTGCCGCAAGGCTTAGTCCTAGGCCCATTACTCTTCCTAATCTATGTCAACGACATCCAAGAATGCTCTGACAAACTTAAATTTTTTTATTTGCTGATGACACGAATGCCGTATATGCTGACAAAAATCTCAAGTCCCTTGAGTCGACTGTAAATCAAGAACTCTGCAAGTTGTTCGATTGGTTAACGGCAAATAAACTAACTTTGAATATTAAAAAAACAAATTTTGTCATTTTTAGACCGGCTCAGAGAAAACTTACCTATCACCCTAAAATAATGATATTCGACAATGATCAAAATAAGAATGTGGCTCTAGAATGTAAGGAATTTGTGAGATATCTAGGTATAATAATTGACAATAGTCTTTCTTGGAAACATCATATTGACAACGTAGCTATTAAAATGAGCCGAACTGTAGGATTGATCTGTAAACTACGGCATTTTCTGCCAAGACGTACACTTCTAACTATTTATCGATCCCTTGTTGCTCCTTATTTAACTTATGGTTTGACGGCCTGAGGCCTGAGGCCAAGCATATAAATCGCACCTTGAAAAGCTTCTCAAGCTTCAAAAGCGAGCTCTTCGCTTTATCTATTTTTCTTAGCGAAATCAGCATGCAATTCCTTTATTTATTAACGCCGGTGTTTTACCGTTAAAATTTTTGTATTATGAGCATTTACCTAACCTTATGTTTGAAATAAGACACAATAATGCTCCTGGAAACATTCAAGATCTTTTTCAAGATATTTCTGATATTCATTCTTATAACACTCGATCCTCTGCCTCTAATAACTTTTACACACAAAGTTCCAGACTCTCAATTCAATAAGTGAATTCATTTTCTAGAATCGTAAAAAAAATATGGAATGAAATGCCTGTATCTTTAAGAAAACTTTCAAAAAATGCCTTTAAGAGGAAAATAAAACAAACACTTTTTGAGATCCTAGCTTCAGAAGACTGTTATATTGATCTCCCAGAAATCGTTCAAAAAGTTAAGCTGAATTATATTTTCCTCTTAGTTGATATGTAATCATTAATATCGTTTAGTTTATCAGTAGTCTCTTGTCATAACTGTTGTCATTTATTATTAGTAATACCATTAGTTTATCAGTAGTCTCTAGTCATTGTTGTCAATTTTAGTTTCTTTAGTTCTATTGTTACTTTTAGCTGTATTTAGTTTATTTTCTGTAAACATGACCCGCCTAGATTAGCTTAGCTACCCGCGGGCATGTTATCGTACTCTTACTTCAAAACACAATAAAATAAAATGTATATAAAATGTATGTATGTATGTAGGTATGCTGAAGTAAAGCTTCAAGCCTTAGAAGAAATAAGGGAACACTTTTTCACATGCTGGACAAAGTCAATACCGTACCTCTTGCCTTACGTAGAAGATATAACCAAAATACTTACACTAAGGCTGAAGAAGTGAGAAGGAAGAGAAGAATGAAAGAACAAAAAAGAAAGAACAAGACCAAGAAGCGGAAAGTATTGTCAAGGCAGGCTAAAGAGGTGTGTAAACTATTGACTGGGAATGAAGAAATAGATACCATTCAAGAAGCCAGTATTCCTGTGATTGACAGTAATAACCTCAACAGAGAAGCACTTCACACTAAACTGAGACAGAGATTTCACCTAGAGCCTCTCAAACAGCTTATAGGTCTTATAGAGCAAGGATATATCAGTGATTGTGTTATAATTGAGATAAGACAAGCCATCAAAAGGTTAGAGGCCGACAGGATCGCTTCAAGGAAGAAAGAAGATAATTAGCCAAAGCTTACTACTTTTTATATGAGCAGTACTTGCTCTAATAGCAAAAAACTTGACAGTGACACAGACAGTGAGTCCACATCAACCTCATCTACAAATAATGATTCGGATAGTGAGATTGCATAACATGACTTTATGCATGTTAAAATGCCGATGAAATTGTTTCAGTGTTACACAATAATGGATGTTGTGTTGATGCACCTACTATTT